CCCCGTCTCTTCCCACCCCCCCACCACCCTCCCCCCCCCCCGGTCTTACTTGTCTTCTCCTTTGGCAGTTCTGCAGACCCGCTTCATTGAGGAGCCCGAGGACCAGACGGTGGTGGCCGGCAAGAGGACCGTCCTGTCGTGTGTGGTGCTGAATTATTCGGGGATCGTGCAGTGGACCAAGGATGGCCTGGCCCTCGGCATGGGGCAGGGCCTCAAAGGTAGCCCCCTGGGCTCTCTGGGAGTGTGTGTGTGTATGTGTGGGGAGGGTCGTAGGGTTTGGGAAGAGGCGGGGGGTGTGTGTGCTTCAACCGCACAGGGGATGCAGGAGTGGCCCTGGAGATGGGGGAAGCCTCAGAGGTGGAAGAAAGGGGTGCGTGGGTCCCTGAGAGGGGAGCCTGGACCCAAACCTGATGGCCCCCCACCCCCCCCCACCCCACCCCAGCTGGCTGGTCTGTCCCTCTTCCTCCCCTCCATCCATCTGGCCACCCCACACGGCCATGGCTTAGTGGTCTGACATCGCCACCTGCTGGACACGGGGAGGCAGTGCCCCCGCCTGTCAACAAATATTTTCCCTTTCCTTAATTAACAAGGCGGATTTCGGTGGCTTATTATTCCCCAGACATCTGCCTGGCCTTTTCCCAGCCAGACCTTACAAACGACAACCCGCATCTGGTGCTTAAGAGTTCCTGACATGAAAATAACCATAATCGTAATTGTAATCTGAATTCCCGATGGAGACGCCTCGAAGCGCCACCTCCTTCCGCCTCTGCACATGGCGGACGTTAAGCTCATTTGCATATATCTGCATTTCCTGGGGTTTGGTCTTTTGGAGGGGAGCGTGAGCGGCGCTGAGCTCCTCAGGCCTCCCCCCACCCTGGCTTCCCAGCTTCCCCAGACAAAATGAAGTTTAGAAACAGGCTTCAGGGCTGAGGCCCTGCTGAGCCACGACTCGTGGCCAGGCCTGTCCCGTGGCTAACGGTGCGCTCACCCCCGCCTGTGTCCTGCCCCTCTTTCCTCAGCCTGGCCCCGCTATCGGATCGTCGGAGCTGTCGATTCCGGACAGTACAACCTGGAGATCACGGATGCCGAGCTCTCCGACGACGCCGTGTATGAGTGCCAGGCCACGGAGGCCGCCCTGCGCTCCCGGCGGGCCAAGCTGACGGTCCTGAGTAAGTGCTTGAGGGTCCGTGTGGCCCTTCCTGGGACTGTGGTTGGACCCGATCCCCTTCGGCATCTCTTTCTTGTTTGCTTGGAAAAACCTGTCTGTTGTGAGACCCCTTCGGTCCTAGTTTAGGGAGAAAAGCAGGGGATAAGAAGCCAAGCAAAATAAAGACCACACACAGTCATGTAGTTCTTGTTTTTTAAGTTTAGAGACTGGCATCGGAAAGGGTGTTAGAGAAATCCCACTTGCCCCCAAATAATGGCAGACAGGCCAGTCTATTTTCCTCGCTTGCGGGGAGCGTTTATATACCTGAAAAACTCTCCTCCCTTGGCCCACCAGATCTGATCCAGTTCTCACCCACCTACGTGCACACATAACGTTTTTTTTAAAAATGCCCAGAAGCATTTATTGCACCTATTTCTTATACAACTGAGGCCAAAATGCATGTATGCGTATTTATTTGCTGGTTGTCACTTGGAAACAAACAAACAAACAAAAAAAACAGCGCACAATGCGTCAGAGAGGGCCACGGAACGTGGAGGGATTCTCTGCCGCCTGTCTCCTCAGCGTGGCCTTGGAAGCCCCTTTATTTTGTGACTCGGAAACGCTGCTCATGGGGATGATGGTGGCGAGGAGGAGAGGGCCGGGCCTGGTGAGGGGCGCCCGTCTCCTCCCTACGTCCTTGGCTCAACCCCCCCCCGGCTAATTATGGCTAATTGACAAGGGGCCAAGGTTTCTCTTGGTGGTGCAGTCGGGCGCATGGCTGCTTTGGGATTGGGGGACACCTTTGGCCCTTCATCCGTGGATGGCCCTTCATCCCCAGCAAGTGATGGCAACCTGTGGGCCTGAGCTGGCTGGTCTCCCCCCTCCCCCCCCGCGCACAACATCTCCTTTTCACGTGTAGACACACACACACACACACACACACACACACACGTCTCTCTCCGAAACAAAGCCTCCGTCCTCTTCTTATTAGCATTTATTATTTCTAAGTTAAAGACAAAGAGATCAGTATGGGGGGGGCTTCTCCCCCACCCCGCCCCCTGCGTCTCTCTCTGTCTGAGAGAGCCGAATCTGTCAGAAAAGGATCTTTGCGTGTGACAATCATCAGCTGTCATCCTTCCCTGCCTTGGGTTTTTCAAAACGGGAGCGGAAAGCAGGCCTTGAGGGATGTGCCGGCTGGCTTGTCATCCTCCATTGGGGCTCCTTTTTTTCTCTCTCTCTCTCCATTTGACGGATCATCAATATTTCACAGTCGCTCGGCCTGAATCTTTTCCTTTCTTTCCTTTTTAATTCTCTATCTCTTTGTTTAAAAAAACAATAATACCGTTAAGACGGCAGAGAGTTGAAAGCGCCCCCCCCCCGTGTTCATTCTTTCTCCTGCTCGCTTATATGGAACAAAAT